ACAGGATAAAGTTTTTAGGCTTATTTTTGGGATAAACAGAATCATTATTTTTAGTTTATATAGTAATTTAATAATATATAAAGCTTCTGTTTATCTGAACTGAATTAACAGAATAGGACATAACTAATTTCAGTTTAATAAAAAATTAATTTTTCTTTTTGTTATTTTCAGTTCTTTGAGACCTTTACCCTTTAGCATTCAACCCGCCATAAACCCATTCCATATATACTATGCCATAATATATGAAATCATTGAAAAATAACAGAGGAAGTGAGACTTTGACCACAAGCAGTGTGACTTTGAGAACCAGTATTTATGGGGCATGTTTGTACGCATTGAATGCTAAAGGGTTAAATATACTATGTATTAAAAAAAAAAAAAAATCCTGATGAATTTTATTTTATCTAAATTTACATGTGATTTACTTTAGGAAAAAAAAAAAACTTTAATTCCTCGTCTCAAAAATTTATCCTGCGCCTAAAAGGTATTATTTCATTTTTATTTTTCATAATTTTACCTTTTTTTTTTCTTTTTTTTTTAACTCCCCCAAAATATTACAAGTCAAAACTATGGTGCTTCCTCAAAGCCCGGAACTAATAAATTTTAGTCAGTATACCAATGTTCATAAGTTAATTAGTCAAGAATATCTGGATATCTGTTTGAAATCTTTGAAATAATTACTATTTAAAAAAAAAAAAAAAAAAAAAAAAAAAAGAAAAATTTTTAATTAAAATTTTTATTTTAAAAAATTTTTTTTTGAAATTAAAAATTATTTTTATTTTAAATAAAAAGATTATTAAAAAAAATTTTTTCATTTTTAAATTAAAAAAAAATTTTTATTTTTAAATTAAAAAAATTATTTTTCATTTTTAAATTAAAAAAAAAAAATTATTTTTTATTTTTAAAAAAAAAAAAAAAAAAAATTATTTTTTATTTTTAAATTAAAAAAAAAATTATTTTTTATTTTTAAATTAAAAAAAAAATTATTTTTTATTTTAAATTAAAAAAAAATTATTTTTTATTTTAAAAATATTTTAATTTTTAAAATAAAAAATAAGACTAATGTTTGGGCAACATCATCTGCCCAGCAGTTTCATACCATATTTGTTTTGCTTTTCAGAAATATTAGGTACTGACCATAAATAGAATAGGTTTTTCTTTTGTGTGAATAACCACCATTCTTGGAGTCCCAAAGTGTGAGCGTCTGTCTTAATGTCTCATAAAACAATAAATAAAATATATTTTAGATAAAAAATATGTTTCTTGACAGCATTTTTTTTTCTTTGCTTTGCTCTCTTAAAACATAAACCAAGTGACTACTTTTATTAAATGATGTTATTGTCTAGTCTGTCATAGTCAATCATCTAAAATGATTATTGTATCATCATTTTATAACAAGCAACTGTTTGTGTTAGAATATCAACCACAGTTTCTATTGATATAGATGATAATGAGCAGATTTATCAGCATCATCAGTAAAGATTTTAATTTGAAAGATTTATTTTTCAATGGCTCTATTTGTTTCAACTGGTATTTGCATACTTCTTATAACATCAATAACTAATGACAACTCAAGAGAAAGAGAAAAAAAGCTTAAAAAAAATTTTCAAAATAAATTAATAAATAAAATTATATATAAATAAAAAGACCAAACTTTTATTCCCCTTCTGCCACCACCTTTTTTGTTCTTAATTTTCTCAGTTACACCACTGCTCTTGTTACAACAGATGAAAACCCATTGTTACATAAGAAAACTGGAGCATATTAATATCATTAATAAAAAAAAAAATAATTTCTGGGCAATATTGACCTAATCCTGGTGTAAGCTTTCTCCATAAATCAGTCTTATTCTTAATAGTAATTAATTATTATTCCACCGCCACCATTTTTAAGTCAATAAAACTATATTTTTACAGGTCACTTATTTTTACGAGAATCTACATAGCTATATTGCCTTCAATCTTCACTTAGTAAGTAACTATTTCATCTATGTCCTTTAATCATTAAAACTGCCATATTTGATAGCATATCACCAACCACACACACATTTAAATTTAATATTACAGTATTATGAAGTTAGTACAAGTACTGCTAGGCTACACTAGCAAACATGAACCTACCAGATGTCTCAATAAGACATGGGAGATTGTTTTAACGATGTTTTTCAGAAAATAGTTGGACGTATATAAAATTTGATAGAGTAAAATAGTTAATACAGGGTTGTTCAGTTCTTTGAGAATAAATCTTTTAATATCTGTAAATTTCTCTAACTGATCTGGTTATCATTTTAAATCTATCTCAATAAATAAACAGCAAATTCTGTCTGTCCATTCGTGTGCCTGAAACCCATCCAACTCAGGCCACACTTGGTTTACATAGACATATTATACCCTTTTGGAATCACGATGATCCCTGGTTTGAAAACCTGGCCTTCATCTGGTACTTGAACATCCAACATTAGGATTTGTGCCTGGATGAGGAGGGAGCAGTAAAAAAATTCAAATTTTAAAATAACTGAAAAAAAATTAGTGATTTTAAGTTTTTTTAATTTATATCAAGTTTAAAGTAACACAAAACCTTTGTGAATTTAAATATTTTTGGTTTTTGTTTTAAATTCAATTTAAAAGATCTTCAAAACTTTGTGAATTGAGGAAATCAAATTTATTTCTTCAAAATGCCAAGGAATCTGCGTTGACGTGAGGTTATGAAGTTCCGCAGAGTTTGTGATTTGAAGACCTCAATTTTCAGCCTGAATTGAAATTTCAACTTAAATCACTCTTTTGGCCAGAATTGCACTTACAGACTGAATCAGAGTTAAAATGAGGTTTTGAAGTTCCATGGAGTGGATTGAGGAATTCAGAGTTATTTCTTCAAAATTATCATTGCTGTTTTCTAACCTGGACAAGAGGTCCCTTTAGTTTGGGGCTGGAAGCTCAATTAATCCTACACAGGAGCTAGCTTAAAATTCCACACAGAGTGCAGCGTTTAAGCTAGTCATTAGTAAATGATGACAAACATAAATGAAAAGGTATTCTGTAATTGTTGCCTTAAAGGCAGAACATAGTGATTTAGAGATTACTTCCTTCCTTCCTCCTGTAGGGCTGAATGAATGCAACCAACCCCCAAAGACACCAACAACAAAATAGGCAAAGATCTACACAATCTCAATGGCCAAACCAGCGGAAGAGGGCAAAGCCAGTCAGGCTGGCATAACTAAGGCGGACCTTGACAGACCAAGCATCCAACAGCCTGATGCAACCAGGTTTGCCAGATCTTGACTGTTGCAGTCCTCTTTGAACCACCAAGGAGACACTTATGGCCAAGTGAGTGGGTTTCTCCATCACATGGAGTTGTCCACCAAAATCAAATTCACACGAATGGCCTCATCAAACTCTTTTTGATTCACAGCTATCTCTGCCACTGTTAACCGGGGAGAGAAAGGATGATGATGCACGGATGCAAGCAGGTGCCAATGATGACTTGAGGTTGTTTCTTGCCAATGTTCACAAAGAACTGAAAGCCATGGATGGGGATTCTATAGTAGTAGCCAAACTAAAACGCCTGCTAAGGGTCTTAATATCATCAGAACACCCAAATCTGTAAAAAAGGGTTCAGAAAATTATCAATAATAACCCCAGAAAGTCAATTAATTGCTAAGGTTTCCAGGCGTTCTATCAGAATCGTGCATGAGGGCCTTTAATACAAGTTATGTCGGCAAAGACAAAAGATAATTGTCTGATCTGTGCAAAGTCCTTGTTGAGCAAATTGAAACGTCAAGAGCCTGGAATACTTTCTTTGTTTTTTTTTGTTTTTTTTCTGATGAGAAAAACTGATGAGGACCAAAAGGTCACAAAGTTTCCGGTAACTGAGATGGTTCTGGAATTTATGAATAACAAGTAAGATGTCAGGCCTCCTCACCTTTCCTCAGAGTATAAAGGTCAATACTGCTGACTATAAGGTGTTGGGTAGGATTGTGAGGCCTTGGATAGAGAGCATTTGCAAAGGGAGATCATACAACTACCAACACATCTCTGCTCTATCTCATAAGGCCAAGACAATCCAAGAATAGATAAGTTACAATCTCCATGATTAGATCACCCCAAAGATATCTAGCTCTCCAGACATGAATCTGTTTGACTACTATATATGGCATGCAGTTGAGAGAAAAGTCAATCAACACCTCCCCATAAAACTATAAAATCTCCATCATAACTAGCACAATGTTCAAAATAGGAAAAGATCATCTGATTCTAGTGTGTCAACATTTCAGAACTCGTATTGAAGCCATCATCATTGCTTATGGCGGATATATAAAACATAAAAATTTGCATGAATAATATTGATGCATGTCAAGAAAAGTCTCAATATTATTCATGCAAATTTTTATCAAATAAAGCTCTTCTTTCATGATTTATACGTCTTTCATGCAAATGTTCTCAAAGAACTTAACAACCCAGTACTACAGATTATTTTTAAAAAAGGCAGCAGGAACAGATGTAAGTTGAACATTTGCAACATGTAAATATGAAATAGGAAAAAAAGTAAAAAGTATACAGCTTTTGTTAATATTGGAAACAAGGTAGACAACTCAAAAACAGCAAACAGTAAAAGAAAAATGAAATAAATATTAAGAAAAAAAAAAAAGAACTTTGCTTTTTCATATAAAAACCTAAATAATGTTTTTTAAACTTAAATTGATATTGTCAACTACACTGACTTTATATTCTGATTGAATGTTATTTTTTTTTGTTTTTTGTTTTTTTACAGCTTATCAACCTTTTGCAAGTTATGTAAGCCAGAAAATGTTTTTAGATTGGAACATTTTTTTGAGATAATTAATGATTTACTAATACAATTTCTACTAATTAATTGGGGGGTAGGGTAGAAGTGGATACATAACTTTCCCAAGGGTATTTGCACGTAAGCCTGCTAGAATTGGAACTCTGCTCTCCGATCTTCAATTCCAGCCGTTATCCATTACACCACCTGCAAATCCAAAA